ACGGATAACTTCGACCCCGCTCAGATACACCGCAAAGCTGCGGACACAGAGTTACACAGGCAATACCAACCCAAAGCATTAGGGCGGCAGAACGGGCCAATCAGCAGTCGACTTTGAATTGGGGTTCATTTGTTCGGGCCTGAAACATGAAAACAGCGAAGCTCGGCCCATCTCAGTTTGCTGACTGGGGGCTACTGTTGGGCCTAGACCTGCAGCCCAACCGATCTACGGCCCTAACGGTCTATGACCCGTGAACAGTGGAAGCCCAACTCAAACAGTAACCGCGATCTGGTTAAACATGAATCAGATTCAGTAACTACTGTTAACAAAACCTAGTATTTACCATCAACCTTGTACTATAAATAGAGGTACAATGTGATGTGACCATTCATATTCCATTCCTCTGAAAAAGACTACAAGGGACACAGAGTATCATCGTTCAGGTCTCTAACTCCGACAAAGAGCTCGCCGGGAGGTCACCACCGACCGAAAAACACCGAAAACGTTTACATATTTTTACTAGCTCGCAGCAATTTAGTAGTCCGGGATCTGTCCGGTTTACTATGCTCCTCCGGGTTTATAGCAATCAGATAGACCGGGATATGTCCGGGCTACCTATTGCAATATGCTTTGTAACACCTATTCCGAGCTCAACTTCTAAAACACGAAATTCTCTGACCTCCTATCTACTATAAATTCATTTCGATTCCGAGTTCAACTTCTAATACACCTGTTCGATCTTTTGGTTAAACAGAGATGCTCCTTTTCACCGGCTCAATTTCTATTGTGATTTTGGACTTGTTTCAATTTCGATACCGCATAATCTATACACATGTTTACTATTAGATTTGAGCTAGATGGGCTCTGAATATCATTGATAGATGGGTGTCTCAAGCTTCGTACAAATATAAATTTACTATTTTCTCAAAATTTCCTAAACACAAAGTGGGCTAATCTACACATTTTTAGAAAATGTCAAAACTCAAAGTACTTAACCTATAAAAAAATTTTAAAACGATGCGTTTTGGCGAAATTACCAAAAAAATGAATGAAATTTATCTCAAACAAATATTAAATTATTTCTACTAGTTTATGTGGTATAGCTAGCTGCCCATAGGTCTCTACAATAAAAAAAATTAACAATTTTTTTTTTTTGAAACTTCCGAAATATATGGTTATAAAGGTCATGTTAATAAATTACAAGAAGACATTGAGCTCATGTTTGGGAACAATTTTTTTTTTTGAAACTTCCGAAATATGGCTATAAAGGTCATGTTAATAAATTACAAGAAGACATTGAGCTCATGTTTGGGTGTGAACATAAGCATGCTCTCACCAAAATAATCGAAAAGCGGAAAGAGAAAGTTGTCGACGTCAGTGGTCAGAGTAGCTGAAGTCCTCGGCGCAATGTCCCTTCCGACCAGCGACTGTTGAGGGGCTGGTACTATGGCTCCGTGCATCTGCGTCATTACCATAGTGCCCTCTGCTGCTATCTTCTTCAGTGGAGGTTGATGAGTTAAGTTGTCACTACTTGCTTTGCGTTTACCTTTGCGCAAGGAAAACAAATTACTTACGGTATTGGAACAAGACAAAAAAAAAAAAAAAGATGAGATGAGATGAGATGAGAGTTCATACTCTGCCTGGGATTGGTGAGCTTTCCATCTGTCTTCCAGACAGAGCGAGCTGGAGGAGAGAGCAGTGTCTGAGATGTTTTAAGCCGTTCATACAAGCATCGACCAGCTGCAACCTATGGACGGACAGTTAAAAGTTTTATATGTTCTGCTGCATGTTTTGACACACGAGATTGAAGCAACCACTCTATTATGTACCAAACTAGAAAGCATACTCACAATCAACGCTCCATAAACGAGCCAAGCTCCGTGCCTCTTTGCTTCGTCCTTTTGCTTCTCAGGTACCATTTCAGGCAAAAGAAGTTGCAAATACGGCTCTAGGTTTGGGAGAACATGAAAGCGAACCTAGACAAAGTGGTAAAGCAAGAAAAATACTTAGGATGAGCAAAGAATATATCCTTTAGTGTAAGGGAGGACTCTTTAAACATATTTGGCCGCCATCAAAAGAATAAGGTTCAATTACAGGTTTAATAGCTTCATTCCTTCATCGAGGGTATCGAATCGTGCTTCTACTAATTTACGCTTATGCTTTCTTATGGGAAATCCTAGACTCACATCCTAAAGTGCCACTCTTCCTAATGAAAATCAGGCATTAAGAGCAAGTACCACATTAAGCCCAAGGGCTACCATCCCTTGAATTGCGCCATAGTGTTGTGGTAGTGTCTTGGTTGGGTCCAAAAAAGTATGAAGCAGTGATCTTGTAACACGTGGTAGCAGGTTGTGATAAACGTGTCCAAACCTGTAATATGAAATGCAGGTCATGCTACAAATCAGATGTCTCTCATTTTTGTGTTTCCTCCCATTTTCCAAGGATGCAATATGCCAAATAAATCCTCAACATTGTCACAAAGGAAAAGGCCCTCGGTAACATAAACCTTTTGCATGTTGAACCAACTGCAGTGGCTGTGAAGTTTCTCAAGTCCCAGTGATTATCAGAAAACCTTCTCCCTAAGCGTTTGGCAATGAGGCAAGTGATAATAGACGGCATCAATTGATGCAGCTGATCAGAGCACAACAAGGCATTAAAGACAAGATAAACAAACAAAAAACAGGTGTTACAACTGGATATAGCGACAAAACTTACATATGGTTCAATATGTACATGAGGGTTATGAAGGAGGCTTCTAGCAAGACGCATCAAAGCCAACAAGATTGGATAGTTATCCATGTTCCTCACAATCTGGAGAATTTGTAGTCACAAAAGTAGTCAAAATGTAGTTAGGATAAAATTCAAGACTCATAAACATTGGATCACAAAAGAAGGAAGTCAAGTTAGGATAAAACTCAAGCTCAAAAACACAACCTCTTCAGCTATGAAACAAGTGAAAAAAGGAAGCAATGGGTGGAGGCCGGGGTCAGTTTCCAAGCTGGCGAGTGCTTGTCTGAAGAGGGTGGAACCAGGTAGAGTCAAAGCCCACTCAGTGACTTTGTCAAAGTAAAGCTGCATGGAGAGGAAACATGGAGAATATAAAGAGAAGATAGCGTGAAGAGCATGAGCATGAGAGAGAGTAAATTACCTGAAGCTCCTTGGAGAGCACATGTCTAGCAGCAAGGGGATCTTCCTTATACTCTAATCGTTTCAAGTCAGATATGGCTACAAAGAAGAGGGAGTTGAGATGATGCAAATTCTTCTTGCAGAAAACGAAAATGGCAAGAAAGCATACATACCTTGGAGAGGAGAATTTTGAGGAATACAAGGTTGGATACCATCAATTGCCAACCATTGAGAGGTAATAGAAGCATCAGGAGGAGCATTTGGTAGAGGAGCTTCGAGAACCTGCACGCACAGCAAAAGGAAGCTAAATAAACAGCATTCGTTCGTAATCTTCATGCCCAAAAGGAAGACATACTCACATTCTTGAGCTCGACATCTTTGTCATCTAGGAAGTAGAGATCTCTGTGCTCAGGAGCCCTCTTGAACCGCGTACTTTTAGAGGAGGTGAAGCCACAAGTAGGCTAATAAGAAAGGAGGAAGAAGAAGATTAAGGTCAAAATCAGGAATGAAATCGGGAGAAGAGAAGAGAGGAAGAAAACCTCCAAATTCCTGAATTGAAGGGCAGAATCGACATCGTGCGCCATCAAGGTGGTCCGGCGAGCATGGCGCATGCACTTGATAGCTTCCTATAGAGATGCGAGGAATTGAGAGAGCGTGTGGAAATCAGAGAAGCAAGTGAAGGAGGAGAGGCATACCTGCATGACCTCTCGGACGCGGTACTCGACATCGGGAGCAAGAGCGGCAGAGACTTCCGGTGAGAGAGTAGAGAGTCCGATGCTCTGAGCAATCACTTCAATGGATTCCTTCGTCACCATCATCCCCTTTGCGCTCTCATTCTACGACTCGCCAACGACTTCAATGGTGGTGCTTTCTCATTTTATTGGGCTTTCTCAAATGGGCCTATGCGAACTGACTTGGGCTTTAGATTTTTTAATCGAGATTATGCCTACACAGACAGTCGTATCCTTCACTCTTTGCAAAGGTATATAGTGTATGTATATCTCTCACTCTCTTTCTATTTGCATCTTCTTTCGCTCTTCTATCAACTTATATACAGAAAGGGTGTTTCAGTTTCAGATAATATTTCTTGCGCATGTTCCTTCTTCTGTCTCTATGCAATCAATCAGGTTTTGATCTGCTTTCACTTTGCACCTCCTCCTGTTGTTTCAATGTACCGTACAAAGAATCTTTCGCATTCGTATCCTCCATCCGCCAGTTACGTTCCATGCTCTTGGGATCTGCCGTTGAGATGTGTAAGATCTTTTCATGGAATTTGGTTAAAGTCTGCCGGTGCCCAATGCTTATATATGTTATGCCAGCTGACTTGATTTGCTGGTACAGGTGTGCCTGCGAGCATCAAGAGAAGTCAATGCAGGCTCAACGTACTGTTTCTAAATCACAAACAAGAGGAGAAACCGCGACATACCTCGTTAGCTTCATCCAAAGCACTAGTGGATTCATCCAGGAGGGCCAGCTTTGGCTCAGACAACAATAACCGTGCAAAGGCGAGCCGCTGCTGCTCACCAAGTGAGAGAACACTGGCCCACTCGTGCAACGAATCAAGACCACCAAAGCGGTCCACTATATGCCCAAGACGAACATTCTCTAGAGTCCGCATCAGGTCATCTGTCGTCGGCTTATTACTCTTATCAGTTCCATCATCTAGAGGCTTTGAACCTGACACAATCAATGCATTTTCTCAAACTTAAATAACATGTTTGCGTAAACTGTAACTTGGATGCAAGAGGTGAAATAAGTGGTGCTACTAGTCACAATTTTGAACTGAGTACCGTCTCTTTTACTGCCAGCAGGTGTTGCCTCCATAGTTGTACTCCAGGCAGGATAAAGCAATTGCTGACGCAGAGTTCCCAGAACCATATACGGCCTTTGTGGAAGGAACAATATGTCTCCCGAACTTCTTTTCTTTGAATTTTCCTGACTATCATATTTCTCCTGTGTAATAGCATCCTGAGAGTTGATGTAGAAAGTGATTTTTCCTTTCCCTGACCTCCAAAGACCAGCCATAGCTCTTAGGAGTGAAGTTTTACCACTCCCACTAGGACCCATTATCTGTTAAATGGCATTTATGCCTAACTTAGCATCTACCAGTCCACATGCTTAAAACAAAAAAACAAAAAACACTCAAAGTGAACTAACCAGTAGATGATCCTTGTCATATATGTCTACGGATAAGTTGTGAACCAATGTGGTTCCATTTGTTGGTGTCTGAAGGGTGAGCTTCTCGATCTCCAGAAGCTTTTCGTTCTGTCGAGACTGGATTGAACCATTGGAGTCCAGCAATGAAGACCTCCCCGCACTCTGATACGTCAGCTCGATCTCTTCTAAAGTGTGAGAGGGATCTCTGAAGATGTTGTTATCCAAAAGATCATCAAATTCACCTGAGTTGTAAGAAGTCTTGATATGGTTAGATACGTAAAAGGACAATCCAACCTACACTCTACAACAAATGCAATTTTTCATTTAACCGTAAAAGTTGATAGCAGAGTAACAGATTTTTGTGATTACGCCGTACATAAGGCATGATCAAGACCCAGTTTCAAGCAGAACAGAGAACATCTGTCTCGATCTTTTCATCCGGCCAACCCCGAGAAAACTAGAACCATCAGCTAACCGCTCATGAGAGTCTCAACTGTAACAGGCCCCTTTTTATCAGGTCTCTACTCCCAGATATAATAAAGAAAATCCTACTACTCGACTGTTGTATATATAAAAAGACCTCTACGGCTATGTCTATATAGAAATTAACCCACTGCAGCGAAACATTTTAACCACTACCCTTAGATATTATAGTAAAATAAGTCCTGCTACTAAACTAGCTTCTCACCATCAGGTTACAGCAATTACAGAGATGTGCATTTTGTGCCACAAGTGTTCAATATCAATCTGAGGTCTCGTTAAGAATGTCTGTGTGATCTTTATGCAACAAGTAGTATAGAACGTTCTGAGAGAGTGCAGAATGCATAACTAGTCTACCTAGTCGATCAATGACAGCTGAAAAAGCGCTGATAGCTTGAAACTGATAAACAACAAGCGAGAAGTCTCCTAGGATATGATTGAACGCTGACACCGACTGGTTAATGACACCAAACTCAATTTTCCCGGAGAAAAACATTGGGGCAACAACAGCAGCAGGAAGAATCTGAATGAGGTATCGATATCCGTCAGTGAAGAACTCTAGGTTTCTAGATGCTATCAGCAATTCCTGCAGGTGAAAGAATGAACAAACTCAATGAGCAAGCTAGAAATAAGAAAGCTTCGATAGAATCACTGAGGGAGAAGTAAATTTACAGTTAAATTATCAAAAGCGCTTCTGAAACGCTGAAGCAGAAGCTGCATTTCATTTTGTTCGCCTCCATAGAAAGCAATCGATTCAGCATTTTCCCTCACGCGTACAAGGCTGTAACGAAAGTCAGCCTCCTTCTTCTCTTGCAGAAAATTGAGATTCACTAGCCCCTGAACCCAAGTGGAAAAATGTAAGTGGAACTCGAGCTAATTCTGCAGAGCAAACTAGAGGACTCGGGAAATATATGATGAATCATGCCAAGGAAAAAAGAAGTATACCTTGCCGAGGAAGACACTGATGGCAGTTCCACCAAAGGAGTAGAGCAAGAGAACAAGAAAGAGAGGAGGATAAATGGTGAAGAGGATGTTGCTAAAAGAGATGAGGTCAATGGTGGCACTGAAAAGCGTCAAAGAGAAAGACAAGGCTGTTCCAGTGAAGGAACTGAGATCGTCAACAATGCGCTGATCCGGATTGTCAATCATAGATTGGGACTGGATCTTGTAGAAGGATTGATCTTTCAAATAACGCTGCAGGTAGTATTTGGTCATCCATGATCTCCATCTCAGTGATAAAGTCTCTTTTGCATAATCTCTTAGCACAAAGAACTGCAAATGTATGTTTAGAGTGTGGACGATCTTTCTAACAAACAAAGAAAGTGTTGTTGTGTGGAAGCTCACCGGAATTCCGCCGGCGAAAGCGCAGAGGTAATAGAACAACTGCTTGGTGAACTGCTCTTGGTCTTTGTCTTTGGAATTGACAAGACAGAGAAAAGTTACTTATGAGAAGAGTGGGGAGGGGGAAAGTGGAAAGGAGAGTTGAGGAATCGTACTGGCGAGAGCATTGTAGAAATCACGGCCGAGGAAATTGAAGCCGACGCTGATTCCGGTGGTGGCGAGAGTGAGGGCGAAGACGGCGGCGAGACGTAGCCTAGCCTGGTCTTTGTCATCGGAAAACCAAAAAGGTTTAGCGACTTTCCAGAATCGCTTCGACAGAGACTTCAACTCCGACGCCTTATGCGGCAACAAAGAAGAAGCAGCGGAGACGGTTCTGAAACGGCCAATTTTCCGGCGATGAGTTGATTCATGGCGAAGAGAAGGAGGAGAACGATCGCGACGGAGGAGAAGCTGAGGAAAAGTGGCGAAAACGGGAGCTGTAATCAACATCATCTCCTCCCCACCTCATCGGCAATTAGGCATAGTCATCTCTGTGAAATAGCACAGCCAATTTCAGCTATAGCCAC